ATGGTCAATGTGCATGTTACTTCAGGTCATTTCCATACTCTCTTCTCACATATAACTTGCTTTAGAAGAGCTGCTGTCAAAACCATAAATATTAGGAAATCTGAATGTACTTAGGGAAGGTATCTCATCAGTTTCCTATTGCTTTATGGTATTTTCTTGTTCTTGTAGAGTCATAGAATCAATTAGGTTGGAAAAGACCTTTAAGATCATCAAGTCCTTTACCCCAGGACTTCCAAGTTCACCAGTAAACCATGTCACTACAATAGAAAGAATAAACAGAGTACTTGACTTCACACACCCCCCCCTCCCCCCAAAGTTTTAGGTAGGGCTTAGCTGTGGGTGTACGTCTGTGTGGTTGTTTAAGTAGAGAGGTAGAAGTAAAACACATTTTTCGGTTTTAAGTATTTCAACTTTCAACTCAGCTACAAACATCATCTTAGATTAGAGGATGTAAACGCAATAAACACTACCAGTGTTTTAAAAATGTGCTTTCAATCCAGTATTGGGAAGTCGTTGTGCTCACATGATACACTACTTTGTGGCAGCTTTTGTTGCCTCCTTTTGTCTTTATAATATGAAAATAGTAAAGTTTTAAAAAACCCAAAACATGTTAGAGGGGATATGTATGGAACTGAATCCTTTTGTTTTCTATAGGAAAAAAGCTGTGATCCTATGGCTGATGAACACGATGAGTCTAGCCTCTACGAAGGTCTAATAGATGTCTTTCCACAAGATTATACTTCAGACACTTTCTCTGAAACGGATTCAGGAAAATTGCAGGTGCTGGTGAAACTGTTGGCAGCAATCCATGAGCTCAAGTCTTCAGAAAGGCAAGTATGGAAGAAAGGTAAAGGGAGGTAATGGGAGTGACCTTCTGGATATTGTTCTGCTTTTCAAAGGTGTGGACACATAATATTCAAAATAAAGGCATGCAACTGTTTGCAGAGGTGTCAAGCATATTTATGCTTTGTACTCCTGGCTCTTCCTTGTTAAATTATTAAACTAGGATTTGCAGCTGACATAATTTTCAAAGATGCTCATTGTGGCTTTTTCCGGATAAAGATACTTGTATTTTTCATACCAAGTTCCAGCAAGAAAGATAGTTTGCTACAGCCTCTGTACTGTGACATATTATCATTACCTGCAGAGACTTTCCAATGCTTTGTATGTCCTTGAGGAGATGTATCAATGTAGTAAATATTTTAAATTACACTAAAATATTTCTAATCAGTAGATTATAAGTTATTTCCTCTTTAATCACATTTAACTGCTCAGTGCTTGCTGCCTTTTCTGTTCAGGGTAACCAGTCTCCACAGACGTACTTGCACAGCAACTGCTTATTTCTCCTGTAGTAAGTGCCACTGACATGTATGAAACCACTGTTTATCATGGGGTAATAGGACGCACATGGTTAGTTACTGTGCAATTGCTGGTTCATGAAAATCTCACATAACCAAATAGCCCCAGGATAACTTTTTTATGAATTCATGCCTTAAACCCCAGCTTTCCCAAAAGTATTTAGCTTTTAACTTTTATATAAATTAATGTTTAAAAAGGGCATGCTGTAATTCAGTAGTGGGAAGTAAGGAGAAGTAAGAGCAGATCTCTTGACACTGATGTAGTGGAATTTGAAGATTCTTTCTTTTTACAAATCAGAAATCTAAGCCTTTTTTTGGAATCTATATGCCTAACATCCATTGAAAGCAATGACAGCTAAGTATCTAAATGTACTGGCCTGATTCCTTGTAGGTGAAAATTAGCAAGGGTACCAGGAAAAAACACCTGAATCAGTGCTATAGGAGCTGTGAGATACAGCTGATGTTGAGACATTATTTTATACCTTTAAAAGTTTTGTTGCTTTAATTCAGTGCTCTTTATGTTTCTTTTTCTTTTGTTTCTCTGCTCTCATTAGTACTAAATAGATTTTGCAGTATACAGACTCAATTCCAGTGCTCCTCTGAAGTTTATATTCTATTTTCGAGTGAAAACAAAGGTGTGAATCTGGTGTTGCTTGACAAAAAGAAAATCAATCTTGCAAAGTCTTTATAAAAAGTCTTGAATGTAGTTCAGTTGTAAAGTGTAAAAATACTTTATAGCAATTCAAAAATGTTAATTTATCAGGTTTTCCCTGGAATTATTTGTCTATTTCTTCAGTACTTGTTTTTAACCAAAATTATTTCTAAAAATGGAGCACCTTTGATGGAATTTGTTACATTTAGTTGTGATTATAAAAGATATCCAACGAAGATCCATCAGAACATGTTCTAATTGTCCTTATTATTCTATTTATGGCTGAAATTCAAAAAACTTTTCCTTTGTCCAGTCAGAAGAGTCATCCTCAATATCTGGGAGGATAGAACTTCTACATGTGCAGATCTCTGAAACATATTTAGTTAAAATTTCAGAGAAAAAAACACCAACATAGTATGGGCCATTAGTGTAAGGCCTGATTTTGCTTAAAAAATAACAGCAAAAATCCAGACTATATTGTTTGTGATATCTTTCACTATCCTTCATCCTAATTCTTTTCAGTCACAGAATGTAGGAGAGTCACTGCTTTCATATTTGACTTCCATGATTTTGTTTGTTAGAATTTTCCAGGATTGTCTATAGAAGTTCACAGTAGCTTTTTCAGTAAGTAGTCATATATATATATTATTTATTAGCTGCTACAACACCCTCTGCAAATGCTGCTTTAACAACAGCTATTTAGTATACATAGAGATTTGGCTCTGGATCCCTGCAGTCTGTGCAGTAAGCCAAATTCTGTGGTGAAGGAAAACATTCATTATTTAACATTTGAATGCTTGACAGTAGGTGTAATGCATTCAAATGTATGTGCTTCAAATTATTAGGAAACGTTTATTTCTTAGGAAAAGTGAGGAACCTCAGGTTGATGTGCAATTTTGCCCTGACTCGTAATTTTACTTTCTTAGATGTCTTCAGTAATTTGTTATTGGACTTTAACTTTACCGAGGTCTAAGATGATGAAATAAGTTTGTTTTATTGTTTGACAGGGTCGTACTGGTATCCAGTTACACACAGACATTAAACATATTACAAGAGACATGCAAACATTATGGATACTCTTATACTAGACTTGATGGACACACTCCTGTCTCCCAAAGACAACAGATTGTTGATGCTTTTAATAGTAAATTCAGTCCAGCTTTTATCTTTTTGCTGAGTTCAAAGGCTGGCGGAGTAGGACTGAATCTGGTTGGAGCATCTCATTTGGTCCTGTATGATATCGACTGGAATCCTGCTACAGATATTCAGGTCTGATAATAACTGTGTACATGTGGGTTGGAATAGGCATCAAAAGATTTCTTGACTGATTTTGAAATGCCTGGCTTTACATGTCTTATTATTTACCCAATTATCGCATTGCATCTGGAGAAGTACAATACTGAAGGAAAACTCTTTCTGAGAAGAAGAAAAATTTCTCTGTCCTATTATATATATATTGGGATCATTAGAAGCCCTCTTGCAGTAAAAAATGAAAAGATTAAATGCTGGTTTCTTTTGGAGGAGTGAGTCATGTATCCCTTTTGTCTCCTGACCTCTTTCAAACTGGAAAGTTGCTGTGTTTCTGAAAAGAAAAACATAATTAGACTGCATAGCAAATGTTGCTGTCGATTTGCAATACCTGAGAAAAAGGGAGAGTTTCTGATCTGAATTAAAAGAATGGGTATTTCATTGGGATAAAAGTGTTCAGTTAAAATAGTGCTTAACAATAACAATTAAAAAAAATCCTTTTATAGAAATGGTGAGAAACTTTTTGTGCTTAATACCTGAAATAAACTCTGATTCTTGGCCCTGCTCCTGTTCCAAGTGTGAATTAGTACCCTCATGTGGTTGCTTGTCTTGTTGCTTGAAGCACAGTCTGCTAAATCAGTTAAAACTGCCATGGGTTGCCAAAGACCACAAACTGTGTTGTGGGTCCTTCTACCCAGTATGAAGGTGTAACCCTTACGTTCTTGACAAAACTCATAGCAGTACTCAGTTACCTTTTATTCATTTAAGAATTAAAGGGGGTGTGAAACTCTAAAACCATTTTAAAAGAAATGGGAAAGTAATTTTTAAAGATGTATCATGGCAAAAAACAATTTTGGAGATGGGAGAGAATGTTGAGTATTCCTGAAATATTAAACAACTGCTAATGCTTGGAAAACAACTATTAGGAGGGGATTTATGGTAGTAAAGAGTTGAAGCTCCTATTTTCCTACTATAGTACACAGAAAGAAAGGGGAGTGTAAATGGCAGAAACCAAATTATATTTTGGAAATTATTTACAGCTAATACCAGAAGACTTTTATAAAAACAGTCAAAGACAGTTACTGAGGAATGCTTTCTTTGGACAACATCTTTTTGAATGAGCTAGCAGAACTGGTAATTCAACCCTCAGAGGCTACAAGTTCTAGTTGAAATACCATTGTATAGTAGGCTGTTAATGCTCTTCTTTTTGTTTCTTCAGGCAATGGCTAGAGTGTGGAGAGATGGTCAGAAACATACTGTACATATCTACAGACTGCTAACCACAGGTCAGAGATGGTGCTCAAACATACTCTAGATTGAGACAGCTATTGAAATTTTGTCCCTTAAAGGAAAGGGAGGGAGTGTTTTTGGAAATCATTAGTTCTTTAAAAATATATTTGTTCTGAATTCAGTTAAAATAGAGACATCAGATTGACTCATTTGCCTTTGCTTGAATAACTTAAAACGGTCATATTCCTATGAATATTTTTATTAGGAAATGGAATTTAACTTTTCTTCTTGACAATTACTGGCCCAGAATCACCCTGCTGTATCTGTTTTGTTTGTGTTTTCTTTTTAATACAGGCTCAATAGAAGAAAAGATTTATCAAAGACAAATCAGCAAACAAGACCTTTCTGGGGCAGTTGTAGACCTTTCCAAGACATCTGAACACATCCATTTTTCCGTTGAGGAGCTTAGAAATCTCTTTACTCTTCATGAAGATTCCAGCTGTGTTACCCATGATTTGCTTGAGTGCGACTGTATGGGAAAGAAAGATCATCAAAGTGAGTTTCTTTGTCATCATCTCTGGCTATTGCTGAGGAAATACATCCATCATCCATTATGGATATATAGTCTGTTACTGGAGAAAACTCTAAGGCTTAGTGAAATAGGATTGAAATAATGAGGTTCATTTTAAGATCTTCCAGATATTGTTTGATTTTTCTAATCCATAGGAGCCCTTCCCAAGATGAAGAAGAGAAAAGGTTTATTCCTTGCAATAACAACCAGTTCATGTATCGTGCCTCTTAATTCCTTGAATTAGCTATGGCCAGCTCAACTAGTGATTCGTTATAACCAAATAGCACTGTATGGTGTTTTGTTTCTGAATGTTCAAGGACATTCATTAGTAGCTGGAAAGGGCTAGTTCAAAAGCTGTTTATCTGAGGACAGGTATACCAGATAAACATGTATTCCATATCTCTGAATATAAGCCTTTGTTTCACAGTTATTAACTAAAGCTGATGCAGGATTATCAAAGTAGTTATTTGAGAAATGCTGGAAGATTCCCTGGCACTTGTAAAGCCAAGTTGCAAATATTCATGCCTATCCTTTCTATAGGAACCTGTCTCTTGTTCTTTTGGCATATCAAAATTGTTTTAACACCTTGCTGCATACAGGTATATAGGTTTAAGTTAGGAGCAGGATTAAAAAAAATTATCGTAAATTATGTTTGTATCTTAACCATTTTAATTTTTATAGCTCATCTAGTTCTTAAAGGAAAGAGTATCTGTTGCCCTGGTATGTTTCTTTCCTTTGGGCATGAAATATCCATGTATACTATTTACAGGTGTGGTAGTGAGGTACCAATATTGATATCTTCTAAATGCACACAGATACCACAATAAAAAGGAGCAAAAAATGGGCACAACAGACATGGGCAAGAAATTAAGTAATTTATGGAATCATTAGGATTGGAAGGGACCTCTGGAGATCATCCAGTCCACCCCCCTGCCAAGGCAGGGGCACCTACAGCAGGTTACACAGGAACATGTCCAGGTAGGTTCTGAATGTCTCCAGAGAGGGAGACTTCACAACCCCCCTGGTCAGCCTGTTCCAGTGCTCTGCCACCCTCAACGTAAAGAAATTCTTCCTCATGTTGACATGAAACTTCTTGTGTTTTAGTTTATGGCCATTGCTCCTCATCCTGTCGCTGGGCACCACTGAAAAGAGTCTGGCACCATCTTCTTGGCACCAGCCTTTGAGATATTTATATGCATTAATGAGATCCCCTCTCAGTCTTCTTTTCTCTACACTAAACAGGCACAGCTCCCACACTCTCTCCTCATACGAGAGGTGCTCCAGACCCCTAATCATCTTTGTGACCCTCCACTGGACCCTCTCCAGTAGCTCCTTGTCTGTCTTGTACTGAGGAGCCAGGTCACCTCCCTCAACCTGCTGGCCACACCCTTCCTAGTGCACCCAAGGATACTACTGGCCCTCCTGGCCACAAGGGTACACAGATGGCTCATAGTCAGCTTACCATCTACCAATACTCCCAGGACCTTCTCAGCTCAACTGTTCTCTAGTATGTCACTCCCCAACCTGTACTTTGGATTCTTCCTCGCCAGGTGCAGTACCCTACACTTGCCCTTGTTGAACCTCATTAGGTTTCTCTCCACCCAATTCTCCAGCCTATCAAGGTCCTGCTGGAAGGCAGCACAGCCTTCAGGTGTATCAGCTGCAAACCCAACAAGACTATTTTGCTTGATGGTTTGCATGTCTCAAGGTAATAGGCTAGAGCTGTGTTCCTTTCTCATCTCATTTTACCCCGAATGGGGTGGACTTGGCTAGTGAAAGCACAGTGCTGCTGTAGCCATAAGAATTTTACTTTCTCCTTTATTGTTGGCCACATACTGATGTCATTGTCTTTGTATATTTCTTTAACGATTGAAAAAATAGACCTTCTGTTTTTGCATGAGTCAGTGATGTTCTAAAATAGACCAGCCTCCACTTAGGTACTATTACAGGATCTGTGTGGAAAAGGCACCTTTAATGTTAAATGTTAGCCAGATTTTCTCATTTGTGTGCAGTGAGGCAGGTAGAGTTCCCAAAGAAGCTCCTGCAGAAATCCAGAGAAATTTTATATTGTTACTATGATGGACACTGGTGCATATAATTTTATTTAGCATTTTGTAATTGTCTTAACACTCTTGACTGCTTATCTCGTGCTTTGAACATATATTGGTTCCATCAATTCAGCCACAACATTGGTGTCTTGGATCCTGTCACAAGGACTTCCTCAAGGGTAATTATATCTTGGACCAGGTGAACAGAACCTTTTAGCAGTAAATCAAGGAAAAACCTGAAGGTTATTCTTAGACTTAAGTGGTGGAAATGATAGAGTGAGGGGTTTGATTTCCTAAAGAGTGGAGGACAAACTGGCTCATCAGTTTCCCAGTCAAATTGTTGTAAGTCATAGTCGTCAGTTTAATCACCCAGAATGCATCTACCACTAAGCTGGTCTCTGCCTGTCCTAAGAAGAGAAAGCTGTCTTGAGGGAACCAGATTCCAGGTTACTTGGGATAGATACTGGTGCACAGAAAAGACCAAAAACTTCAACTGGTTCCTCTTTTCCCTTTCTAGCAAGTATGATTCAAAAGACAAAGAGGAGCCAAACAATATTATACAGGCTTCACAATATATGAACTTTACATAGTTATCTCCATTAGATATACCAATGAGACTGGATATTCTTGACCAAGCTTCTATTGTCCACTCACACTAGGGCCATCCTTTGGAAACCACATGAGTCTCGAAAGGAAGAAATTAACTGTAAAAGGATCATGTAGATGGTTGCTTGCTACTCTACTGGCTTTCAGATCAGCTGTAAAGCTGTAAGCCTATTGTTTTACCTGATCATGGTGTAATTTATGGAACACTGAATCTGTAAGGACTTGAGAAATGCATCTATTCTAAGTTTTCTTCTGGCCAGTAAAACAGAGTATGTTTCAAGTCTAGAGCAAATGTGCACCAAATGTTAGTCAAAAGGAAAGTCTTGCATGTATGAGTCTTTATGTGCTCTCCAAAACTTAAAAACCCTCAAGAATACTCTGAGTCCTCATGCTGCTTATATCATTGGTCTTTCCTAAGGAGCACGTGACACTACTGTGAAAATATTTGATGACAGGTTTTAAACCAGTAACAGCAGTAATGCAATTTTTTTCCATCCAAAATGGTTTCTTCACTTGTCACATGCATCAGATGCATCATGTAAACAGCAATGTGTGGCATGCCCTGCAATGACCTGGTACTGTTTGGGGCTTTAGGATCCTTTGTTGAAAGTGCATTCCTCTCTTTGTGCTTCACAGCAATAGTCTTTTCCTTACTGTGATCTACAGTATACAAGATTGTGTACATTGAACAGCTTGGCATAATCTGGGTGTACACTGTGCACAGCTCTATTGTGCTGAGTCAGTGAAATAGCGATTCATACTATTCTTAGCTGGTTGGAGTGACTCCTCTGGGAGGAAATAGAAGCTAGCATGAATTTTGCTGCAACATATTTCTAATTAAAGAATGGGAGCAGCTCAAATGTCACATAATTAGAAAGACAGAATAAAGGAAATTGCCAGATATTTCCTTTCCCGTTCATGCGTAAAAGGATTTATCTTTATGCTAGCATATGGTGATTTTGATAAACTCAATCAATAAGCAAGAAACCGCCTTTCCCCTCTTACTGTGGATACATATGTTTGGGTTTCATGGACATAGAAGGATTATATACACTGTTTTATTTTCTCTCAGCTGTTATCACCAACTGGCTTATTGGGCTTATTGATTCAGACTGTAATTTTCTGTCTTAGTTTCTTCCGATTAGTCTACTACATCTTTTTAATGCATCTGGTTTTTCTTTTTTTTTTTTTTCAGATCCTTCCTCAGAAAATCCTTCTGTATCCAGAAGTTGTCAGCTTGGACAAAACCATGGGAAGTCTAATTCAAAGAAACCACTCTCCATGTCACAGTTGATGCAATGGAAACATTTCTCTGGGCAACATCAGACTCTCGCTGATCCTTTTCTTGAAAGGATAAAAGAGAATGTTTCTTTCATATTCCAGAATGTAACGAGTCCAACTTCCCCCACCTAATAAAAACTGAAGTGTCTTTCCTGACCACTTACATCCTCCTCCTCATAGGTAAACAACTGATGTGCAGTTGCATCATTGTGTTGTTCTTTTTGCCAAGTTCTGCTTTATGTATTTCTGATGAGGTTTCTGGGTAAATGGGATTCCTG